ATATAGCAACAAACCTAACCTTCACAATTCGTTTCCTGTATAGCAACCCGCAGGTTACATTTCCTACAAGCAGCGACCCGAAACCTGCAACGTACCCAAGCAACACACCACACCCTCCGAAAAGATTAAAAGATAAAAAAAAAAAAAATCGACATGGACCCAATGATGTATCAGGTTGCGTTCAAAGACCGACTCCAGTTCCCTCTCCGACTACAAGCACGTAAAACCTGTGTCTTCAATTCGAGGGAGGGAGAATGACTCCAGTTCCCTCTCCGACTACAAGCACGTAAAACCTGTGTCTTCAATTCGAGGGAGGGAGAATGAGTGAAACGCGGCTACCCGCTAGCTGATCACATCGTACCAGTTGGGGCCCATATCTACAATCGGGGGAGAACAAGTAGAACGCCTGTCTTCTATTCGGTGAAGAACAAGTAAACCATTTGTTTCCTATTCAGGGAAGGAGCGTGTCTTCCATCCGAGCAGGAAGAAAAAGTAAATCGCATTCCTGCCCGTATTTGGTGAAGGACAACGCGCTCCAGATTCAAGAATTAAATCCAATCCTGTTTGCTACTGGGACCAGGCCCCAGGTCGGCAAAAGGCTAGACTCACTCTAATCTGGCAGAGCTCACCTCGGGAGCAGTGTGGGGCCTGATCCTTCAACTGCTGGCGGATGGCAAAAGGCTAGACTCACTCTAATCTGGCAGAGCTCACCTCGGGAGCAGTGTGGGGCCTGATCCTTCAACTGCTGGCGGACTGGATTGGGGCTGAGACCCTCTCAAAGACACCATGGAAGAAACTGAATTTGAGATCGCAATTCCAAGCACTGGGCTGTGGTGTAAACCGACAGATAACTCAGGGCATACTCACACTACAGTCTTCACCCGAATAGAACGCCCGGTCACTATCGCTGAATCTAGACTGCCGGTCATTATCGCTGTATCTAGACATAAAGTTGCCCCATATACAGCTATAATGATGGGAGATGGTAGGGACTTTTTCTACTATGCTGTGGACGTGATTGCAGTCAGATTCATCCAAGTCGGGCTGCAATTGCGGTCAGATACACTCAGGAAAGTGCTACTGTAGTGCGAGTATGCCCTCCGAGAAGGTGATCTACCAAATGTTTTGGGGACAAAGGATTTCTGCAGCCAAACAACGGATTTTTTATGCCTCCTCTCTTTTTGTTTTTGAAAGGGCGACCACCTTGAGATAATCATCGTGAATGTATCGGGCCGCAGTCACGAGAGATACATTCATTCCGGAAAGTGCTACGTAATTCAGAAATTTCATTTCCTCCCTTTTTTGAAGTTTTTTCTCTCGTTTTTTTTTTTTGAAATAACTGCGCGGGTGACTGCTGCACAGTTTCGAATTGGCAGGAACAACAGTCCACTGCAAGCTTGGGCGAAGACCAGTTCGCAACTGCAAGAAAAACAGTAAGGTGGGCGCACGACGGCCTACCGGGGCTGTCGTGTTGTTGTTGTTGTTGTTGTTGTTGTTGTTGTTTTTCTTTTTCTTTTTTTTCCGCACCTCTGGCAAAAACAGGAGGTGGCAGTCGTGTTTTTGTTTGTTTGTTTTTTTTGCACCACCTTTGGCAAAAACAAGAGGTGGCAGTCGTGTTTTCTTTTTTTTTTTTTGCACCTTCCAACTTTTTAACTTTTTTTCCACATCTGCGACTTTTTTTTTTTTCTTTCCACGCCTGCTTATGCCACGGCAGCGCAGTCTAGGCCACACCCGTGGCTGGGCCATGGCCGAGATGTCTTGGCCACGCCCATGGCTGGGCCACGGCCGAGATGTCTAGGCCACCCCCGCGGCTGGGCCGCGGCTGAGATGCGTAGGCCACAACCCTGCGGAAACGAGCCAAAACTGGGAGGGCCTGCCACCGGTAACTGCTCCCAGGCCAGGCCACCGGTGTGGCCTAGACAGCTAGGCCATGGCAGGCGCAGGAAAAAAAAAGAAAAAAAAAAACACAACCGCCACCTCCCGTTTTTGCCAATTACTGAACCGGTAGGGCATCGTGCTCCCACCTTACTGTTTTTCTTGCAGTTTCGAACTGGTCTTCGCCCAAGCTTGCAGTGCACTGTTGTTCCTGCCAATTCGAAACTGTGCAGCGGTCACAGGCGCAGTCGTCTCTCATTTTTTTTTCTTTCCCCTCTGTGTTTTAGAAAGGGCGACGGCCTTGAGATATCATTATCGAACTGACCGGCCATAGGTAAAATTCAGAGCTACAGTATTTTACTCATCTGCTTCCATTGGAGTTCGAACTCAGGTCTGCATTCCAAAGGTCAGCGGTGTACGGCTAGGCCAGTTAGGGTCGACACCACTACAAAACCCTTAGATGTAAGGTTATAACCGTTCCACCCCTCCCTAATCACGAAGAAAAAGAAGTCCAACTTGTTTTCACATTCGCGGCCGTAAGGGCAGGCCCTACAAAAGTAAGGACTCCCCAGCCAAAACTGAACTTAACATAAGGACTGCCGCGGTGGTGACTTGGGGCCTCGTTCCACGCCACTTATAAATTATCATTGTAAGGGCGCCCTAACTGGGCCAGGGTGATTAATTTACCCTAACTTTTTTTTTCGTTCCACAGCCCGTGAGGAAGACCCTACACTCACCCGCCATTACATCTCAGGTGAGGAGGGCCGGGTGTCAGGACCTCTACCTGTCGGGCAAAATGTAGGGTCCCACCCTTACATTTCTAGTCACCTCCGAGGGCTCCCTAAAGATTTTTGTCCTTTTGCCTGGGCCGCCCTTATTTTGTAAGGGCGGACCCTACCAGCCGAGAATGTGAAAACAGGCTCAGGGATTGATTTTGTTGTCATTAGGGAGTGGTGGAACGATGATTTTGTAAGGATCCTTACATTTGTAGTGGTGTCAAACGAGGCCCTTGAAAGTAGGAGGTGGCACCCACACATCCGCCAAAAAAAACTTTTTTTTTTTTTTTTGCTTTGTTTTTGACGTCCACGTGTGTCGTGGGCATTCCTGGTCCAACGGCGGTGTTGACCGGTAGACCGCAGGGCAACAGTCCCATTGCAACCTCCAATGGCCGTCCAGTGCCCCACCTGTGCCCCCGCAGTCCCTACGGTTTGCCATTTCGGCCGGCGTTTGGAGGCGACTGTTAAAGGGGTCCGTGCGGAGGCGGGTGAGATGGCCGTTGGTGGTCTTGGGTCCGTGTGGAGGCGAATGAGATGGCCATGCAGTGCCCCACCAGTGCCATCCTCGCGGTCTGTCTGCGGTCTGTCTGCCAACAGGGCGAGTCTCCTCATCGCCGCCTCATCCCTTCAGCCGCCGTTCATACCAGAACTCCCTTGGGAAAACACGCCACACAGCAGCCACGTGAAGCCACATGCCGTGCCATGACCGTAGAGTATTGGCACATGCAACATCGAAATCGCGCACGCAAGGACTCTAGAATGCAATTTGTGCGAAGCAAACTGGTGGTGCAGAATTTGAATTCGAATGGCGAGGGTTCGCGTGCACGTTCTCCTTGTGGGCGGATGTTATCGCGCACCCAGATCACGGCCCCACCTGGCTTTGGGCCTGGCTTTGGGATGAGGCTGGACCGGGTGTCCCACGGGCCCAAAGGTGGTGGACACGATTTGGTCTGGCGCAACTGTGAGTTGGGCATTCGGATTCCTCTTTCGGCCGCTTAGAACGCAAATGGAGGCACCTGAAACGTAAGTGCGCCTAAGTGTAGGGTTTTTGTAAGTGGTTGTGGAACGAAAAACGGGGTAAGGGAAAATTAATCACTTTCTCATCATAGGCGCCCTTACAAAGTAAGGAGTAAGGATTTTGTAGTGGTGTCGAACCAGGCCCTTGGTAGGATTTCATTTTTACTTTTGAGTCTGGATTCGATGAAATTTCATCAGACCAACTGGCCTAGCTCAGTTGGTAGGCCCCTGAACTTTGGACATACAGACTTTAGTTCGAACTCCACTGGAAACAGATGGTAGAAATTTCATTTTACTTCCATCTGAATTCGAGCTTACGCCTGTATTTCGAAATTTCATGGGTGTACCGACTGAGGTAGGCCCGCCGGTCCCCGCTAGTTTTCGAATGCCAGACTGGTCACTTTCACTTTGCCAGCTGAATTCACCCTACAGGACTCGAGCTTCATGAGTTGAAGATGCGCGCCCTCCGGTAGGTGCCCCGACTACTCTTCTCCTTTCTCTTCCTTTTTTTAGTCTTTTCTTTTCTGTTTTTGGTTCTCTTTTTTCCCCTCTTCCTTTTTCTTTTCTTTTCTTTTCTTTTTTCGGTTCTCGTTTTTCCCCGAATGGACATTTCGATCAACATCATGCTATACGGAAAGCAAACCAATGTCCCGAGGCCAAGTCCCACTTCCCCGTATCCTTCATTTCTGACCCTAGATTGCAATCCTTCACTTCTGACCCTTGATTGCAGAGATTTATGGTCAGAAACGAAGAATTTTGGCAAGTAGGACTTGGCTCCCACAGCCCAGGTCCCACTTACCTGCATTATTTATTTCTGACCCTGGATTACAAAGATCAACGGCCAGAAATGAAGAATCCAAGCTAGTGGGACTTGGCCCCGAGTTGCGATCCGGGTCTTCACGTGCCGCCTGCTTCCAATGAAACGCGACCTGGAGCAGGGGCTAACTTTTCTACGAGTTATCGATGGGCCTGGCTCAGGGCACACTCACACAAGGACATTTTTCCACATATTTGGATGGAATTGCGGCCGGATACATCAAGGTATGGTCGTGAATGCGGTCAGATACATTTGAGATACTGCTAGTGTGACTACGCCCTCAGTTGGTACACCTACCGGGGTAGTGCAGGAACTGCTGAAATACCTGAAATATTGTTAAAAAAAAAAAAAAAAAAAAAACCTGAAATACAGACGCGATCTCGAATCCATACGGAACTGGTTGAGTTAATTTCTGAAACACCTGGGGCCGGAAATGTTCAAAATGGCCCTCCGAGGCGCCGCGAAACGTCGGGTTAGCGCTCAAGCGCTCCGTTCCGTTCCGGTGTCGGCCGGCGGCCGTGATTCGCGCGTAAGGCTTTTCCTAGGCTGGCCGCGCTGCTACTTCCTCGTTCACTCCGCCATCGCTGATGGAGCACGAGGGCATGGTCTCACCCACACATCGTGGGTGCCGCTTGCCGGAGTCACCTGTGCCTTGAAGTAACCCATTTACACCTACAGTCGGTTGGTCACACGGTGGGTTTCACTACAATTGGATATGCACTCATTGAGAGCGGGTAACTAAACCAAGTTCAGGCGGGTTTAGACGGGTTCTTCTCGGGCTTATTAGAGAGAGAGGATAGGTCGACTATGGCAGAGGCGGGTGACGAGGCTGGAAAGGGAGGAGGTAGGTCGCCACCGCCGCCCAATTTTTGGGTTATGGAAGATAGAGTCAGATACTCCATCGGACAATGCTATGATGAAGGCGTGTTGCCGATAGAACCCAACATGGGTGAGGTGGTCGAGGATGAGAGGGGTAGGAGGTTCAAGGTGAACGAGTCTCTCGATGCCATTAAAGAGAAGTGGTTGAAGGAGAGGACCGTGATCTTCATCTTCCAAGACGAGGTGAGGAACCTGGCACGAGGAGTGAAAGAGGATCTGATTTGTGCGTTAGAAGACGGGTGGCTTGCTAGGAGGCTGTTCAGTGCAGATGTCAGAAGAGGGCGCATTAAGTTTGAAGGTCCTAATGTCGTTTCCTGCGTGGCAAGGGCTTCGGAAGTGGGCACTTGGCTCATGCAGTTCGTCAAGACTGAGCTTGGCAGGTAAGGACTATCCAGTGGCCTTTAAACCATGGATGACCAAACCAGAGCTGAAGGAGATCCGCCTGAGAGATGCAGAGACGAATTTTTGGAATGTAGCTCTCAGGGTGCCGCTGGAGGCTATGTACTACTTACCGAGTGCGGTGGAAGGCTTGATTGGGGGCCTCAAGCAGATGCATGCGCCGGAAGCTGACAGATCGCGGCCTAAACTGATGAATGTGAAGAACGATATGGATCCTCAGGCCCGATTTAAGGTGGAAGACACGCTGATTATCGAATCTCCGAAGGGTGAATGGTGGAAAGTGGAGGTGGCCACTCCTTATTCCGATTGGTGTAGCAAGCGCTGCTGGTACTTTCACACCGAGGAGAATTGTCCTCGACAGGGGTATGACAGAGGGCCTAGGGGGCAGGGGAACCCCAACCTAGCTCAACACCGTGCTCCTTCATTGTCGGACCCGGGAAGAGCAGCTCATTCGGCGGATGGGGCTGGGAGACCAGACGCGGCACCGCAGGCATCTCAGGCTTCTCACGCACGGGGAGCGATCGGCACTCGTGATGCAGTCCGCCCTTCGCAGGGCTTCGCCACGTCAGCGCAGCCGGATAGAAGGCGAACGAACACGGCGCAGGCACGAGATCAGAGTGTGCTTGCCCAGTACCCTCACGTAATAGCGAACCCCACGTTATCCCCCGCCCCTCATAACCAATCCTACTCCCTCCAAGCCGCCCAACCTCCCCCTCCACCTCCTCCTGATCGCGCACTAATGCCTGAATGGACGATCCCTGGGGAGTGGCCAGCGTCTGTCTATGCAGCCCCTCACCCCGGGCAGTGGCAGGCTGCACCCAACCTCGCTCAAGGGCATCAGGAGGTTAATTACCGTTTTCATCCTACGCATCACTCCAACCCCGATCCTTTCCACCCGGACCCAAGGTTCCTTTATGCCCCTCCACCGAGGTATGACCTTCCCTCTCTGCCTCCTTATCAGTCTCAGGGATATGAGTATGGCGCGCCCCAGTTCAATGCAGAAGGAGGAGGTGCGTTGCGTCCTCCTCCAAGCGCGACACCCAGGGGTGAGCCTTCTTCTCATACGCAGGGCTATTCTAGACTCCGTCTAGATCAGAGGCAGGATTTCTCACAAGGGGCGGTGCGTGATCGGGACGGGTACTTCAACGCGCAAAGCCACTATGATGACGGGCTGCTCACCACGAGGGATCGATTTCCTCAAGAAGATCGACCCCCGACTGCTACACCAGCTTCATCGGAATCGAAGGTACAGATGGGGAGCGACCTGATGGGCGACGAGTTGCCAGTTGGGCGGGGAGGTGATTTGCAGGCGGAAGGGTCAGAATCCTCCACGGGGAGTTCGTCCGGTGCAAGGGGGGGCAGAAACGCCTCATCTTGTAGACAGAGCCGAGGCACAAGTGGGGGTACAATTAAGAGTGATCAACGAGATGGGTTGATTAGGAAGGTAGTTTCGATAGTTTGTTCGATTACTAGTGCAGGGGCGGTATTCCTGGGCCATTCACAGTTAGATGGTCTCCCATTCCTCCCCATAGCAGACACGATCAGGTCGCCAACCCCGATGGAGATCATCGCCCTCACGAAGTCGTTGGGGAATCATTCCCGGTAAGGATAATCCCCAAATCTCTCATGATCGATATCGTGGTTCCAATCGAAGGGAGGACTTTTAAATTTTATACGATGTTTATGACAAAGTAGAATTTGATGTACCCGTAGGTACACGAGGAGATTGTCCGATCCTTGACGCACGAATCGACTCGCAAACAGCGGATGCCCTGGCAGCTATCGGTGTTCGCTGGTTCCAACTCGATGGGGTGAGGGAGAGAAATAGACAAGAGTTGGAAACCATCTCTGTCACAGATGGGATCTCGGCACTGTTACTACTGGATCTCAACCAGAATCTTCCTTCAGAATCTCCATACCAATTTCCTGATTAATGCTCAAGCAGCACAGTGGCCCTCGAAGTCAAAGTCTTCACAGTCTGGGAGATCGTCAAGGCACAGTTCGATGGCCAGAACCCCTCTGGAGGAACGCAGAAGATGGGCGTCAGAAGTAGACTTGGATTCATCCCGCGTCCAATCAGAAGCGGAGGCAAATATGCGCCATGGTTAAGCTGAAGATGGCCACGTGGAATGTCTGGGGCCTGGGCGATTCCTCGGGTAAAAGGAAAAAGAGCAGAATTAAGTCGTGGGTCTTCCGCAAGCAAGTCGAGGCCTTGTGCATATAGGAGACAAAGTTGAGCGAGGACAAGTTGAGAGCGAATGCTGGCTGGTGGGATGGGCCGCAGATGTGGTCTCCGGCTCAGGAATCGAGGGGGGGGTTAGGCATCCTACTTCATCGCTCTTTGCAGCCACAAGTAGTTGACTCGGAGGCGGATCTGTGGGGTCGCTAGGCCTGGCTCAAGCTGCAAACAGATCTCACAGAATGGGTGTTGATGACGGTGTATGCTCCTGCCGACCCTAGCTCTAGAGCGGCCTTCTTCCAGACGTTGCTGTCAGTCATTCCTCAATCAGAGCACTTAATCATGGTTGTGGATTGGAATGTATCGCTAGACGAGGCTTTGACAGATGGGACTCGCACGACGGGCAGGAGAGATGCAGTAGCCTTAATGGATCTCATTCAGGAGCTGGAACTATCAGACCCTTTCCGCTCATTGAGCCTGTTTACCTCCGGCTATACTTGGTTCTCCAAAATTAGCCAAGAGAGGGGGGATGTGACCCATAGGCGGCTGGATTATTTCATGGTTACAGGAGGGTTGGCACAGGGTGTTACTGCAGATGGCCCCGATCTGCACCCAATGTCGGATCATCGACCGGTGCTGGCGGAGATGGTCCTCACCCCGTCGGTGGCCAGGGGTAGAGGCTACTTCAAACTGAATTCCCTGAACCTTAAGGACCCCGGGATTAAGGGCTGGGTGGAGGAGCAAATGGGGTCATGGGACACAGCCCGACAGTTTTTTCCGTCCACGGCGAAATGGCTAGATGGGGGCCTGACGATCATCTCCGGTATGATGAGCGTCTGCTCAAGGATCCTGGCGAAGGGAAGAAATGTGGAAGAGGAGAGGTGTAGGAAAGGAGTAGAGGAGGCAGAAAGGAGGATGGAAGCCCACCCGATCTCGAAGCGGGTTTGGGCGGCGAAAAGGGAGCGGAGGCTTGCAGAATGGGAGGGCCTGCAGGCGACTAAGCAGGCGGAGTGGGAGGAGCTCCTGAGCATCAAAGGTATTATGGTTCAAGACCGCCTCACTAAGAAACATTCAGGAAGCTCCTACCTAGCAGCTCATTTCACCAGGTGGTGGAATTAAAGCACCCCTTCGATGCCTTGCTACCCGTGGCTGAGTCTTCCAGCAGCATGCTTGAGTATGCACGCTTGTACTTCACAGACATACTAACTTCAAGGAATTGGAGCGGTATTGCAGTTTTAGATCTTACACAGCATTCTTGTCTGTGGGACGATACCGCAGTTTTGCTGACTAATGGGGAGAGACTGGCACTAGACCGCCCAATAACCGAGGAAGAGCTGCAACATACCTTGAAGGTGATGGCTTCCGGTAAGTGCCCGGGGGTGGACGGGTTGACGGTTGAATTTTACAGAACTTGTTGGGGAGCGTTAGGCCCTCCTCCGGTGGAGGTTTTCAACGAGGTTCTGAGTGGGGGTCGGTTAGGCGAGCTCATGACGCATGGTGTCATCTCGCTCATGTTCAAGAAAGGAGATAAGGCCAATGTGCGGAATTACAAGCCAATTTCAGTTCTGAACGTAGACTATAAAATCCTGGCAAAAACGTTGGCAATACGCTTGGGGAAGATCCTCCCGAGGCTAGTGGAATGCGATCAGGGGGCTTTTGTCCAAGGCAGATCAATTTTTTACAACATCCTAACTGCGATAGAAGCGCTGGAGGTAGTTAATGCGGAGAACAACAATGTGGCCATCCTTCTGCTGGATCTAGAAAAGGCATATGACCGCGTCGGTTGGCCGTTCGTCTTGACGATGCTTAAAAAGATAGACTTTGGGCAGGGGTCTTGTAGGTGGATTATTGCTATGTACACGTTGGCCACTTCATCAGTCATAGTGAATGGTCACCTCTCTCGACCTTTCAATCTGACCCGCTCGCTCAGACAGGGATGCCCACTGGCCCCGCTGTTGTTCGTTCTGCAGCTAGAGATCCCGCTCAACAGGATCCGGAAGCACCCAGACATCAGAGGCATCAGTTTGGCGGAGAACTGCGAGTGCATAGTGAAGGCTCTCGCCGATGACCTGTTCATTGCTTCAGTAAACACAGAAAGCTCTCTGAATGCGCTGAAAGAGACCCTAGCCGAATACTCGTTCCTTTCGGAGGCCTTGGTGAACTGGTCCAAGTCAGCGTATACCCTACCGGAAGAATTCTCTCTGCAGGTGGAATGGGGAATGAAAAGGGTGGATAGTTCTTCCGGGGAGCGGTTCCTGGGTGTCATGATCAGCTTGCAAGTGATGGGCTCCGTTCAAGGTCTCATTCTGCAGCAGCGTGTCGCAGCTCGTCTCCAAGTTTGGGGTCCGGCTAGCCATCTTTCTCTTTTTGGTCGGGCCCTGGTGGTAAATGTGGCACTGTGGGCCTTGCTCTGGTTTGTAGGGGCTGTAAGAGAGATATCGGCTGCAGTCTTGACAGCGATACGCAGGCTGGTGGCCAGGTTCCTATGGAAACCCAGGGCAGGGATAGACGGCGGGTTCATGGTTAAAGTGGCATGGGACCTAATCACTTACGACAGAGACGAAGGAGGGCTCGGTCTGATTGACCCTCACAGAAAGAACCTGGCTCAGTTGAGGAAGTGGATCTCCCGCATAGCTATGGCAGATGTAAGAGAAGACTGGATACTGTTGGCTGAGCGTATCCTGACGAGTGAGTGGAGGCTCTCGAGGCCAGCAGACGTGTGGGTATGTTTTTTCATGCACTCCTTCATGAACAGGAGATTGAAGTCGGAGTTCTGGGAGGCTGTTCGCAAGGCCTGGAAGGACCACCCACCAGAAGCTCGCAAAAAGCCACAGACAAAAGAGGAGGTACTCCTTCAACCCCTCTTTGAGAATCCGTTTATCGTAGATAGTCAGGGCAAACCGTTTTCTGCTGCTACGGGGCCCGCAGCCTTCGGGCTGGCCTGGATTCGCAGAGGCATCAGCCGTATTCAGGGTTTGTGGTCTGTCATTCTGGGATCCTGGCGCCCCTTCGCTGAAGTTAGAGCTCAGTTGCAGAATCTATGGAGGGTAGAACAGAATTGGAGGAGCCTCCTAGCAGCGATTCCACTACACTGGCGCCAGCTTCTGGGTCCAGAAGGCATTGACCCGCTGGGTGCATGGTACCTTCAGCCCACCTACACGCCCACCCACATGCCCTCTGTCACAGTGTGGAGGGTGCAAGACATCACTCAACGCGGGTTCAGAAAAGTCCAAGTTTGGGAGGCTGAGGAACACCCCTCCTCAGAACTGCGCTTAGTAGGTGAGGAGGTAGTGGAAAGCTGGGCAAACCCCCCACAGATCAGGGTAGTGGAGAGCTTAGATGCAAATGGTGAGCACTCTCATTTTCGATGGGTGGGGAAGGTACCACTCAGGGCATTGATGATAGATCCCACTGCGTGGCAATGGAAAGGCGGTAACTTGGATTCTATGGACCTGACGTCTTATGCTGTGGAGTTTCTATGGACCTGACGTCTTATGGGAGTTTCTTACAGAAGAGCAGACAAAAGGAAGAGAACACCCGCTTCAGTGGCAGTCGCCAGATGGGCCTGGATGACCTGCAGGGCCAGGAGGCGAGGTTCACTAAATTATGGAGCTCATTGCTGGACCTCCCCAGCCCCAAGCAGGCTAGTGTCTTGTGGCTTCTCTCGCTGCTGGTGACTCTGTCTTCGGTATGGCTGGTCAGCAGGGGCATGGAGGTCAGCCTGGGTTGTACTCGCTGCACATGGCCTTTTAAGTCCACCATGGTGGGATTGCCCAGCCTCTAAAAGAGTTTGGCAGTGGTGGGCGAGTCACTGGACCCAGATGGGAGGAAAGGACATTGAGTGGGATGAGCGTTGGGTATTGTTGGGCTTTGTGCCGGAGAATCGTACCGGTAAGAGGGGCTGGTCGTATGTAGCGCAGGTAGCTAGAGAAGTGATCTGCTCGGTGATTTGGGCTGACAGGAACCGTTCCCGCTTTGAGGGTCGTCCTTTCTCAGATATGGAAGTGAAAGCAGCAATAAAGAAAGGTGTGAGACAGGCGATCTGGGCTGATTGGAAGCGGAAGGTTAAGCAGGGAAGGGGCTCCCGTCAGGCAAGATGGTGGTTCCTGAAAACGTGGGCCCAGGGCAACCAGCTGGTGGGGTTCCACAGATCAAGAGGCCTGGTGGTCTCGCAGTGGCTATTGTAACCAGGCAGGGATTTTTAGGAAGGTTAGGGGCATTAGCTTGAATGCCTCACGGTGACCAGGGCACTCGGTCCGTGAGGCATTGGAGTTACTCAGAGGGCCATCACCAAACCAGGTCACTCGGTTTGAGGGCCGCAGTGGGCCAGGTAGGAGAGTGACAGCAGTTCCAGGACCCAGACCCTCTGGGCCAGGTCCGCTGGGCCATTGTAGTCCCAGCAGTAGGTTAGATAGGACAGCAGGGGTAGGTTTAGTTCAGATCCCGCAGATTCTGGCGTAGGTAAATTCTCTGGTTCCCACTTCAGGGTAATCCCTGGAATTGATTTTGGTCTATTGTCGTGATGATTATTCGATTTCTTGCAAATGGTAGGGAGGAAAACTTTGTCAGGCTCTGTGCCTGTAACCTAAGCTGGCTGATGCTGTCAGATATCCCCGGGTAGAATTGTGAGGTCCCCGGCCTCGGTCCCAGTTAAGTAATATAATGATTAAGGAAAAAATAAAAATAAAAAAAAATGGCCCTCCGACTTCTATTTATTTGCGGTATGCCCCTGCGACGGCCTACTTCCCCTGTCGCGCCCCTCTGACAACACTGAAGTTTCCGATAAACCCCTGGCGTCATTTGGGGCTGCCCGGGACCCGTTCCAAATTTCCAGTATGCTCCGGTAGCTCCCCTCCCAGGGACAGGGGAAAGACCGCGACTGCCACCAACGGCCAGGGGAAAGGCCGCGCGAGTGCCAGCAACGGCCACAGGGGCATGCTGGAAAGTTGCACCCCTCACTGACAGGGCAAATCGGCCATCGGAGGGCCATTTCAAAAACTTTCCCTTCTTATTTTCTTTTTCTTCCCTCACTATGACGATATCTCTGGGCCATCGCCCTTTTTTTTTTTTTTTTTAACGAAAAAAAAATTCATTCCAAGCAGAAATGAGGCCCATCGCCCTTTTGACCAAACCAAATCAACGTGTTGATACTGTGGGCGTGAGATTTTCAGATCGGATGTCAGAGGGCCGTGTATATTCGAAACCAGAATCAAACCTCCTCAAGTGGAGCATGCCCCCAGGTTCACAACGACCAAAAACGATAGGCCGCAGATAGGCCACAGATAGGCCGCAGAGTACTTTCTTTGATTTTAGCAGCGCTGCTTGTGTTAGCTGCTTTAATAGTTACGAAAAGAAAGGGGAAAAAAAAAAAAAAAACAATCTCACCAGGATATAATACACCACTAAAGGCCAAAAACAATTCAATGGCATGCACAATACTATGTGATCAGGGTAATAATTAAAGAGCACCAGCCTGAGGTTAATAAACACCAAAAACACCACAATACTATACGATATGGGTAATAATTAAAAGCACCAGCCTGACGTTAATAAAGACCAAAAACAACCCATGCTCGCCATTATCTCACCAAATCCCACTGTAGTAAGCCCAATAAAAACTATTAAAAAGAGATAATTAAAGAGCACCAGCCTGAGGTTAAAAAAAAAAAACAAAAAAAAACCATGCTCGCCATTACTGCTGGTAATTGTCAATATCGAGGACGAAGAGAGTGATGATGCCAATCATCTTGTGATTGGGTCATTATGACGATGAGCACTTGGTCATCAAAACCAAAACCGATTAAGCCCACAGTATCGAGTAGTCAGTTAAGCGTGGCGCCTCGGCCAATGCATGGCTCTACGAACTACCTACCCACCCAACGTCAGCCACAAACAGTCAGTTCAGTCTATTAACAATCATACATCTAGAGTCCAAAACGACCGCCTCCTTCTCACTGCCGTCGACATCTCTCACCACCTACCCCTCTCCATCTCTCTCTCTTTCTCTCTCTCTCTCTCTCTCTCTCTCTCTCTCTCTCTCTCTCCCCCGCACCGCCTTACATGCTAACGTCGGCAGATCGGCTTGATAAGATGCCTCCTCGCCCTCACACGAGTGAAAGATTAGCTCATGACGGGATTCACACATTTAGAGACACAGAAAACCAGCTTGTACTGCCAAAGACAAAATGTAACTTCCCCGAAGGAGGGGATCACCCAAAGGTCAAATGTCCTCTCTCTCTCTCTCTCTCTCTCTCTCTCTCTCTCTCTCTCTCTCTCTCTCTCTCTTTCTCTCTCTCTCCCCCCCCACCCCCCCAACACACGCAGAGAAGAAAGAAGTAGAGGTGGTTGGTACAACAACAACTGCCGGTAGTACAGAACAACACGCCCTATGTCGTGGCCGCGATGATGCCTGCACGAATGGCTGTCAATCATGTTACCCTCCTGCTAACCGTTCTCATCCTACTCCTGCTGCAACTGATACTACCACTACCCGGGGATTAGGACAGCGACGACGCCGACAACGAGTCGATGATCTGGACCCGAAACAGTATCCTGACATCACTTAAGCTGTGAGACATGTGATTGATTCCCCAAATACAGGCCAGCTTCTGAAATTATGATGGCAATGGGAAAAACCGACTGGCCTTGAGTGCCCAGAAGAAGAGGCCGGGAGGTTACACAACGTGACGCGCTGCGGAAGACAGCTCTGTTGGAAAGAACACCATCCCCAATGAACTAACCGCCGCTGCATGACCCTTCAAAATCTCAACGGTCATTACCAAAAGAGGAAAACCCCGCGTCCCCGAGAAACTCACAGAAAGTTAAGACAGTCCGAGACAAGACAGTCCAACCCCACACTCCCTGTGGCAAAACGAACTGGAAAGAAAAACACACAAAAAAAAAAAAAAAATCCATCACGATAGGTGATGTGCCAATTCCTATCACCGTCGTCATCATCTCCCATCTTAGCCCCAATTATATATATACATAAATGTATGTATACATACTTGCACTTAACTAACCAATTAGATCAGATTAATAACCAATTAAATGTCCACGGCGCATCTCGGGCTGCACTCCTTACTGCTCGGGATAATGCCTGCCTGCAACCACCCCCCACCCCAACTCATGATGTCACGCAACATGGTGTAAGGCATGATCCTGTGATCGAGTCCAATTTGCGTCAATCAATCACATCGCATCGGCTTCAATCAACACCATCGTATGTTCAAGCATACATTCTTGGAAGCAGATATACACTTCAGGATATTGACGATGGTGGTGTTTAGGCGGGCGGGAGAGCGATTCAAAATCAAAAAACAGTTTTAAAAACGTATTAAGCATGTAGTTTTTTACATTATATCTTTCAACAAATCGACAACGAAAAGATCATCAACCCTGCACCCCTTCAACGGATTCCAACTGTCCCACAATTGATTGGTTCATTCAAGGACTGAGACATAGAGATACAGTAAGTTATCGCGGTTCGATGACCTCACCTCAATCCACTTTTGAAGCGTCAAGATCCTCTCAGCGATTCCTCTCCTCTCTTCCCGTCTTCCTTTCCTTCTTTCTTCCTTGCTTTAACGACTTCAACAACGGACGGACGGATAGATATAGCACCCAAGAATAGATCCAACGGCTCCCAACTACCGTGTTCACTCGGATAGAACGCCCGGTCACAATATCTGTATTTGGGCTTACTTCCAGTCCAGATGCAGATGCAAAGATAATGACCGGACGTTCTGTTCCGGTGACGACGGTAATGTACCTTCACCAAGCTTATAGATCCAACGGTTTCCAACCAATCAAGCCAGCAGCGTTCCTTCTGCTGCCGATCTTCCTCTCGATCACAATTCCCAGATCCACATCACCATCATCAACAACATCATCATTTGTAGACATACACAGCAATGCACAGAGCGCACCGTGACCTCTTCATCTTCGTCCCGCCGTCTTCCTTCCGCCGTGTACCTGGACCGAATCCGAACCAGCCATCGTCAATCTGCAGCCGCCGCCGCAAATCCGTCGAAGCTCCCACAGTGAAGCCGAAGCCAGGGTCTTCATAATCAAGCAACGCCTACTGCGGCAATGAAGAAGATCGACAAGTTAAGGACGACTAGCGCCGAAGTTACTTGCCGTCCTTACCTCCCTCCCTCCCTCCCTCCCTCCCTCCCTCCTTCCCTCCCTCCCTCCTTCCCTTCGTCGTGTGTGCAGCACCCCCTTTTCTCACCCTCCCTATCTACCTAACACACCTACTGTCTTCTTCTTCTTCTTCCACCTTGTCGCTCACTATCTACCTAACACACCTGCTGTCTTTTTCTTCTTCTTCCACCTTGTCGCTCACCTTTCACCCTTCAAAGACGCAACCAAACAAGTAGCAAGTAGCCCTTTGATGTACACCATCCAGTTAATCTCAACATCCCTCCCGATCGATCAAATCAATCAAATCAAATCAAATTGAACCCAATCAACCACACTCCATGGCCGCCTCCTTCCTGAGTGATCACCGCCTCTGTGTATGGCCTTCACATCATTCACCGGCGACCATTC